TCTAACTTCTTTCAAGGGTTTTAATGAAGAGCTCATGTTCTTCGGTTCTTACAGGAACGCCTTTTCAATAAAGCGTACTGTAAACTCTAAGCCCACTGAATCCCTGAAACCCAGTTCGGGAAGCAAGCCAGTAGTCTAAACCCCTAAACCCTGAAAAGGGGGTTTACGCTTAGAGGTCTATTTTAGACAAAGCCTTTCAGGTGTTCAAGCTTGGGGTGATAGAGCTCATGCGTTCAGGGTTTGAGGTGTAGGGTGCTCAAGCTTCATGAAGTATCTGGGCTCAAGGAGCGGAGGGTTTGCGAGCGTAAGGAACTTGCAGTGTAGGGCCCAGGTCTTGAGAAATGGGGCCCGTTACAGAAACCCTTATGGTACAAGTTCGTAGTACCTCCAATACAACCCTATTCTAATCATCCCAGAAACCATCCTGAACCCTATAAACTCATAAACCCCTTTGAAAAGAACCCTTGAAAGGAACCTTGTAGATCCCTTTAACAGAAAGTGTTGCTCCCGAGGCAGTTTAAGGATGCTTATAATGGCAGCCATATTCCAGTGGCATGTCTCTCAGTTTTGTTCAGCTTTGTGGTTTAGGGTTTAGGATTTTAGGGTGTGCTTCTTAGAACCCTTTTTCCGCCTGCGTGGTTTAGGATTAGGCTCTAGGGTCGTTTTTCTGCCTGCTGGAAGACTACGGGCACGAACATCGAGCTGCTGTGGCGAAAGTGCAACAAAAGCCGTTGGGATGTTGGTAGATAACGGGATCCTTCATTCGGGTTCTTGAACCAATGAAGACTCCTCTGAACATAAAGTACATCCAGGGAACCGTACTTGACAACAATCCCTTTCGAGGCCAACACATCCACAGGCCCCCAGACATCAACTCCGTTAAGTAGCTTCCGGCGTGTAGTGTTCTCGGTTTACAAGAAGGTCAGCTATCAGAGCTATGGCTGCGCTCAGTTGGCTGCCTTGATGAGCGCACGCGGGGTTTCGTCGGCAATCTATATCATGCTTTAGTGCTGCTGTGGACATGCGCTGCTGAGTGTGCAACTGCTGACTGTCGGCATTCTTTCCAAAAGCCATTCTCAAATGCACTGCAAGAGGCGCAACCTCCACTGCCAGGGGCAGGGCCTGACATGTTCAGCCAAGCCTAAATCGCTTAGCTGTACCTGGAGGTTATACTATTCGTCCGCTTCGAGTTTGCTGAGCATTTGCTATTTAAAGGGTCTCCCTAATTTTCTTTAGCCGGACATCCTGCCTGAACTCAACAAGGCATCTACTGTAGGGGAGGGCCCCGCCCTAATCATTACAACAGGGCTTCGGGGGCTTCGATCTTACATCTGATTCGAGAAAGGACTAAAGGAACCCTCACGAATGGTTTTACTAATTCTTCACGCGGCTAAATGACCTTAACTTGAATCACCCAAGCAAGCTCAGGGGAAATGTGTGACTGTAGTGTCAAATCCCAACATGGCGGAAGGCTTGCCGGTCAATGCCAAAAGGCTCGCGACCCCTGGATCCCCTAAGCCAAAACCGATTCCCAATCACAAACCGTTCGTAAACCTTTAAAACCGACCGAACCTGCGTGAAACTGGAGAGGCTTAGAAGCTGCCCCCACCCTGTCATAGTGACCATAAGGATTATCTTAGGGCCCTATGATATTCCTATTATGTTCCTATTATACCACTATTACAGGGTGGGGGCCCCTCCTAAGGAGAGGCTTGCAGACTCCCAAGGCTGAGGCAAGCACACCAACACACTGCAGCCAAAAATCTTCAACCTCCTGAACCCTACATCCCGATACCCTAAAACCCCAGAACGCATATCAGCACCCTATAGGCTTGGGGTTTAGGAGATACATAGCTATTAAATATGGGGGCCTTGAATTGCTTAGAGTGGGTTTTGGGCTATAAAACACTAGAATCCGACCAAAGCCTTTTTGCAAATGGGGCTTGGGGCTAGCCAGATCCCTGCATCGCGGCCTTTCGTGCTCGCCCGACTCTGTGCAGGTGCATTACTCTGCCAAGAGTGATCCACTGAAGAATTGCCGGTGTCTGAAGTCAGTTTCTGAATCAACCCCAAACCCTTTTTTGCACGGACTGAGATGCCGGCCAGCCAAACCCTAAACCCCTGCACAACTAAACACCTAAATCCTAAACCCTAACCCATAAGCCCCTAAACCCCTAACCAGTCTTCTGCGTCCAGGGGCTGCTGGCTGGCTTCGCCAAAGGAACGTAAGGCTCCCGGTCCTTGCAATTCGGGAAATTGGGTTTTAAGGTCAATTTCGTGTTCAAGGATTTAGAGGTTTCGGGCTTGTGGAGTTTAGGGTCTGGGGTTTAGGATTTAAAGTTTAGGGAGCTGGCAATTTAGCTCACCCTCGCTCTCCAGGAGAGGCATGCATCCCCTGAGTCTAAAGGAAGCTGGCTCGTCTAAAGCAACACCAGCATTTACTCTCTCCCGTGCGGACTTGCTAGATGAGGATCAAGGTCCGCAGTCGCCAGCAACCCCAAACCCAACTTTTCTGTCATCATCGTTGTCGGCTGTTCGGGCCACCAACGCTGCATGCCGGCTGTATCATGGTGTGTGTGTGTGTGTGTGTGTGATATTGCGAATGTACTACTGTACTCCAAGCCCTAAGCCCTTTTACACCCAGTCTCGAGTTTCGTCGCAGAGGAACACAAAAGAACAGCTGAAACAGGGCCAAGGCTCAGCCAAATCATCAGACCAAGGGATCCGCAGACCTGGTTGTACGGCAATTTAGGGCTCCAGTTACCTAAATGGTAGGTTGAAGGGGCACGTACGTAATATATGGTTAGTAACCCACTATTAAGGCAACTGGAGCCCTAGGGGTAGTTGTTGTGTTCTTGTTTGCTTCTTGATTCGTTTTTTTTTTTTTTTTTTTTTTTTTTCCGGGGGCCTCTGTTTCTCCTGCTATTGTCGGTTTCGGGTTTAGGGTTTACAGTTGAGGGCTACTTCTCTTAGTGATTTCATCTCTCGTGCTCGGGATTAAGGACGATGATTTTACGAATCTGGGTCGATGTTGGGGCGGCTCTGCAGGGACCCTGCTTCGGAATAGCAGTCCTCAGATCTTGCGGGGATGCGTTTCCGGAGCTGAAAACCTACTGCCCCTAGCTACGTGGAAGGCTTAGGGTTTGGGGGCTCAGGATCTGAGAGTCATGTGAGGTTTAGGATTTAGGGTTACCTTGACCCCGAATAACCTACCTTTATAATAAGCACTCATATAAGGAATTCATAATAAGGAACCCTAAAACGGTAGGTAATTCAGGGTTTAGGCTTAGGGTCAGGTGGCAATACGCTGCGCCAGCTTCTGCTGGTGTGCAAGTTCGAAGGCACAAAACATATCTAACGCACAAAGCCAACCTGCATTCTTTAGGGTTTCGGGCTTTAGGGCAAGAGTGCCTTAGTTAAACCCCAAACCCTAAACCTAGGATTCAGGTCCAGGTGCCAACGTCTAGAACTCATACGCTACTCCTGCTTGCCTGATGAGCCACCTCAAGCCGAAATAATGTAGGGGCCTTAGTAATTGGAATACCATAGTTATAATAGGAAACACCAAAATAGTATAGGAAACTATGAAGGCCCCTATGTTAGACAACTAGCCCTCATCAAAAATACTAAACGAGCTACGGTCTAACAGCCCTAAACCCTACATACCTGGAGACCCTAAACCTGAAAAAAAAAACTGTAAGACACTGTAAGACTTATGCTTGGCTGACTTCTGAACCCCTCCTACAAGTTAAACGTTTAGCCTCCGTATTATAGTTAATATAGAAAGCCAAAAAAACGGTAAAGTCGTAATGAAGAGCCAACCAGAAAAAAAGTATAGTGACATGACTCCTAAAACCCGAACCAAAGCACCTGCAGACTCACGAAGCTCGTCGCCAGCTCCCGGCTGGCGCTTTTGAGCAACGCCTGGCCAAGCCGGCTCAGAGGTCTACGGCTTACCTGTAGTCTCCATTGTAGTTCCTTTTTTTGGTTTAACCAATTCTACATTAAGGATCCTAAAAGGTAACCCCACAAGGAACTACAATGCAGACTATAGGTAGGGTCTGGGGTTTGGGCTTTGAAGTGTTTCTCTTCGGGGAGATGCCAAGCTCTGCGAGGGTTTTATAATGCTTTGTAGGAGCTATGATTGCCTTAGTTGCTGAGTTCATAAGCCCCAAGAAGTGTACACTTTCAGTTTTATAGTGGGTAGTATTATCCCCAAAAGTGTAAAGCGCATCCACTCAGCTTCTGCGTTAAGGTTTCAAGTGTTGCATCATGATCTCCAAAGGGCTTGTGCGTGGGCTCCAGGGTTAAAGGGATTCGTTCAGCTGCTGGTGATGGAGCAAATCCCGCAATGCCCACACAACACTCAGCCGAGACCTCAATCTCGAAATCCCGGACCATGAGAACCAAAACCAAGACACCACAGGTCGTTCCCCAGTAGTCAGCACTCTAAGCTCTAAAGTCGACTGCTGTGCTCTACAGGGGTTTTGTAAGTATTTCTGCATGTCGGAACAGCCATGAAAAGCCTGTAAGTTGGAGCACTTCGTCCTATAGCACCTACAACAGCCCGCAGCCGCGCTCCTTCAGGCTTAGACACTGAAGCCCTCACCCAAACATCACCTTTCAAAAGCAAAGTCTTGAACCCGCCGCATAAACCCTGAACCGGAAAAAGACAACAAAGCCCTAAACCCGACGATAACATCTCCGTAGCCCTAAGGAAAGCTTGAAATCCTCTCAACCCTCGACGCCGCATAGCCCCAAGATTGGACCACCAGGGAGCCCCACTTTGACACAACTTTTAGGATCCTTCATAAACCCAATGAGACGCCCCCGAGTTCCCAAAAGACCTGTGAGACCTCTGTAAAATCATGATAACAACCCCTGCAGAAGCCTACAAACTGCCGCAAAAGTGTTGCGTTAGCTGGAACTTAAGCACGGTAAAACCTTCTACGTACACGTTTCGAATCTGTGTGTATATAAGAGACACGGCCTGGATGGAATTCCAACTCCGGACCTGTCTTCACAAGGTTGCTTTGTTTCAGAGGGTTTACGGCGGAGGAAGGTATGTATTCAGGAGGGCTTCGGCGCTGGCTCTCGGGTCCGCATTTGGACACTGTATAGCTACGTCCCGTACATCCACGTAGCACGGTAAAGTTAGTACCTGTTTGAGATGGCGTCCAGGACATGGCGCTGTCTGTCTTTAATAATCCCTTCTGCGGCTTTGGGTCATTACCCATAGGCCCCAAAGTAGCTCCTTTGTGGGTTCATATATAGAGTTCTCTAAGGTAATCCCCAAAAGGAACTACTATGGGGCCTATATGGGTACCGTTCTGTAAGCCCCAAACCCTCAACTGCCTGTCTGATCTCTTGTTGATGGGGCGGGGGTAGGTCTTTACTTCGGGAGCACCTTTAGGTTTTCTGGAGTTCAGGATATGCTGCTGTTTGCAAAGACCAAGTACAAGGACAGAACAAATCTGGGTCCCAATTTCGAGCACTCCTCGATCTTGAGGACTTCTACAGGGGAGCTGGCTTGACTGTGTTGTTTGTTCGGGTTGAGGGCTTCGTGTTCATTTTGCTATGGCGCTCATCTGTTGGCCCTTCCCAACGCCATCAACTCCGCAACGATTCACCCCGTCGCGTGCATTCTGAACCCCTATCTAGACGCACCCACACGACAAATCCTGTTGCAAATCGTCCAAAGACAAACCAGCCTCAGACCTACACCCGAAGGACGCCTCGAAGAAAGTCCCTTAACCCGAACCCCCTCAAAAAATCATACCCTAAACCCTAAACCCTTCAAAAACCCTAAACCCTAAACCCCTAAACCCTAAACCCCTAAACCCTAAACCCTAAACCCTAAACCCTAAACCCCTAAACCCTAAACCCTAAACCCTAAACCCCTCAAAAAATCAAAACCCATGGCCTGAATAAAAGACCCGACTCCCCGAAAATCAAATCCCCAACTTCAAAATCCGAAAGCCAGGGGACCCCAGGGATGAAATCTGCGGTGTTGACGATGTCGCCCACCCAACCTATAGTTCATGGTCGGAGAATATGTTTTGAAGCAATGGACTTGTTAGATGGGATAGTATGAAGATTTAAGTGTCTTTGTCTTACTCCATATTTTGGGATTCAAGTTAGATGTAATTGTCATTGTCCTACTCCTTATTGGGGTTCAAGTATTTATAAAAACACCAAAATGTGACCCAACGGTGACAAAGCAGCAGTCCAGGATTTGATCCAGTCCAAGCAGCCTCGGAGTTCGGTACTATAATCCAAGGGTAAAAGGAGGGACCCTTAATGAGGACCCCTAGGTATATACCCTTAATATAGCCATTATATGCCCACTATAGAGCCCATTATAGGGTAGGGGTCCCTATTGAGGGTCCCTCCTTTCCCCTTTGAAGGGCCTACTAGTTAGAATAGGGCTTTCGCTTTAGGGCCTACTATAATTATAGTAAGGACCCCCGCCTAGAAGGGCCTACCTGGACCCCAAAAGTATGTAGCATAATCGCCTTCTCTGGGTATTGCGCCATTATTTCACCTACTTTGGGGGTTTAGGCAATAGGTAGAATAGGGCTTTAGGGCCCATTAGGCTACGATTATAATCAGGATCCCCACCAACTCAACCCAATAGTATAGGTAGTTATGAAGGCCTCTATGCTACAGGGCTTTCTTCCTAAGACTCTATGTCCCTATACAGTATACACTTATGCCTTAAAGGGGTTCCTATATAGGTACTTTAACGCAACATGGAGCTTCAGGCACAACCGAGCTAGACGAGACCATGCACTTGCATGAACACCCAAGGAGCGATCCAAATATCAAAACACACCGCACCCAGGAAAGAAACCATGAGCAACGAGCCCCTGCACAGCTGCACTATCGGATTGTGCTATTAGCCCATGTCGATCCCGCTACTGTCTCGTTTAGGGTCCAACAGAAGGAATTCGAAAGCTGCCGACCGCCTCAAGCTCTGCCGAAGGCGCAGGTTGGATTGTACGTATGCCAGAAGCATTACCTCAGCTGCCAAGTTCTCTCTTCTCCAACAATCGGGCTCAACAAGGCTCGAAGTTTCTATCATGGACCAAATATAGAAGGCCAACAAAACCCTAAACCCTGAACCCTAAACCCTAAACTTCAACAGCGGCCTCCGTGGGTAGACGGGGCATTCTATGAGAAGAACATGCCCCATAGGATTCAAGTACGAAGCTACCATTCCGGAAGCCATGGTGAAGCTGATGAAGGTGCACACGGCCACAACCACAACTACCTGCCAGGGGCAGGGAATAGAGCTTCGGGCTAAGGAATTCGGGGTGGTCAGCTGAGGGTTTGGAGGTTTAAGGGGTAGAGCTCTGGATGTAGACTCGACGGCTTTATAGAGACTACCTTAACCCTGAATAGCCTACCTTTTTAGGGTTCCTTATTATGATTTCCTTATATAAGTCCTTAAAAAGGTAAGTTATTCCGGCTTAAGGTAAGGCTTAAGTAGGCTTTGAAGAGTAGGGTTTAGGCTCAACTAGTCACCAACGGGGCAAGTGATGTCCTCGGTTTGGGGGTTGGGAGTTTAGGGTCGGTTCACCCACGGGCACGGTTTAGATTTAGGGTTTTGGGGTTTCCGCGGGCACCATGGTCGCTTTAGTATTTAGAAGGACCCGCGTTGACGGCGGGAATAAAGATGGCCGTATCTGATGTCTCCAAGCGCCCGACAGTCAGAATGCTCATAGGATGATCACTTAGTGACATAGTCTGCGCAAGATGCACAATGACCCTGAACACCTCTAACCCATAACCCCCTTTGCCTCCAGGCCTATTGCGACTGCCGGGTACCCCTGAAGAAAGGAAACTGAGGGCCAGTCAAATCTGCAGCCCTATTGCCTAACCCCTTTTTCAGCAGGAGCAGCTAACCTTAATTCCCTAATTCCTAACCCTAAGCCCTGAACCCGAATTCCTAACCCTAAACCCTAAACCTTAACTCCTAACTCTAAACCCTAAACCCTAATTCCTAAACCTACTAGTTGCAACACGAGTTAGCTAACCTCGCCAGCGTTGTAGGCCGGCGACAGAGGAAGCATAAATGTGAGTCTGACACTAACTCTCGGACAAAGCCAAGGTTTTGGGGTTTGGGGCTTCGGGCTTAAAGACTGGAGCTCTGTATTTCCTTCATGCCCCTTACCCAGGGAAGTTGGATGCGACCTGCAGCTGAAGCTGTACACGCAACTGTTCTCTGCCAATCGGATTTAAAGGTTTAGGGGTTTTGAGAAGGTGTCGTAGAACCAAAAGGACTTCAATGCCCTTACCATTGTGCTGGTACCTGCCTGATGTGCTCCAGCCGAAACCCTGAGCCCTAAACATCCCTTGTTAGCCCCCGAGTCTAACCCTAAACCGTGAACCCCTAAACCCTGAACGGCCTCGCTGTGGATAGGACTCTCACCGGCCCCATCACAAGTGCCCAAGACGATCCAGACCTGCAGTCAGAAAGAAGTGAGGCTCTGAACCACACTAACCCGAAGTCCTGAACTTACAAGGGCTTCGGGTTTAGGGGGTTTTGGGGGTTTGGGGTTTAGGGTTTGGGTCTTAGCAACAAAGGGTGCCGGGTCAACGTTCCACCTGCTGAAACTCCACCAAGGATGCAAGAACCTGATTGGATAGTCCCAAATGCTCTGGTCAAAAACTGTTAGTTCGGGTTTAAGGGTTTCGGGAAACATGGGTCCTACTAAATTTAAATCCTGCTATATGTTGGATATTTCGAACCAAGGTTCCGTCACTTATTTTGAACCCCTAGACCGTGGTTTCCGGCTCATGTAGATTTTCGGTCTTAGCATAGCCTTAAGAAAGGGACTGCGGTTCTGGTCCACGTTGGTGTAACTGCAGTTTCGGACTAGGGATTCACGGTTGACGCACACCCCTGATGAAATCGGCGCAGCACGACGCCTAATATCCGAGGCTTCTGCATCTGCAATAATTCGACTCACACACTCGCACAAGGCAGGCAAGGCTTCAGGCTCTAAGTCCACTGAGCTTGCTACTTGCACACCAAGGGACACAACAGTGCTGGTAACACCAAGACCCATCTGCAATAGATAGGGTTTGAGGGGTATAATATTACGATATAGTTACATATCAGCCCAAAACTACTAATTCTTCCGGCTTCTATGCTAAGTTCTTGCCCACGGCACATCGAGGCCGCATGTGGCCACGCCGCATACGAGAAGCAGCAGCCAAGCTGAAAAATACCGCCAACCTTACATATGGGAGTTTCAGAAAAATTGGACCACAATGCAGACATCCTTAAGAATAGGGTCCTTCTTCTACTAGAGACACTTTGCTTCTGAAACACGATTTCCGGGTTCTGGTGTATTTGCAGGGCTTAGCTTGGAGCCGAACGAAACGAATGAACCCTTGAATTCGGATTTTCAAAACCCTAAACCCTAGCTTATTTCTTAGACGTGGCTTTTCCGATCGTTTGGGGTCCAGGCATTGCCCGAAACCCGGAGCCGGGGCTCTTGGCTTCGAGAGACTCGGAGTTAAGCCCCTAGCTCTATAGCCCCCAAAAGCCCACCTTATTAAGCATTTTATAGGGATATCCCTAATTACTGGGGTTCGTTAGAAGGGGGCCTATATGGGAGATCCCTATCATTAGTGTTCCTGATTATGGGCTTCTCTATATAAGTCCGCATAGAAGCAGGTTGTTGGTGGTCTACGTACGTTCCAGGGCTTAAGAAACAGCATGTACGGTTTGGATCTGGGATTTCGGGCTTCAGGATCGGGGTCATTTTTAGGTTTGAACCTGAACCCCAAACCGTTAAACCCTAAGCTCTAAACCTAAGTTGCAGGCCCGGCCCCTTCATGAAGACAGAGAGTCCGCGTCGCTGGGGGGCAGGGTGTGAAGCCATACAGGGTTTCGTTGCGGCTCTTCTGGCGAAGCCCTGAAAGCCCCAGTGCTGTCCAGAAGCGTTCTTTCGACGATAGGAGTTTCCACTGCCAGTCCAACTCGATATCGTTGACGAAGCGACACCTGTTCAGGGTTTAGGGTTCAGCCGCTCGTCAATAACCATTCCCCACAAAGCTCAAACCCAAAAGTCTTTGCGGCAGTGAGTAGCTGCAAGATGCAGTGGCTCGGGAGTGCAGCTTCTTGGCCAAGAGTTCGGGGTTTGAAGATCAAAGCCATGGGTGGTTCCGAACCTGGTAAACAATAAACCCTAAACCCTTCTATAGATCCTGGGCCCTAAACCCCAACCCCCAAAAGCCCATGTAATCACATAACAAGGCACATTCTGCGTCAAGGTCATCTGTGAATTCGACTTTCGCGCAACCCAACCACAGAACACACCACAAATCAGAAACGAATATCGCCGATCGACAGTGCCTAGCATGAGCGCGTGCTGCATGAGGCTATGCAGATTCAGACCCGAAAAAGATGTCTTCAGGTATGCGCACTGTCGTGTTGCTGGCTTCGCCGGTCGGCAGGGATGTTTGTTAACCGAGAAGATCTGAAAAGAACAACTCAAGTTGCTCGTCTTCGGGTCGACCGAAGAAAGCCCCCCTTCACGCTGAAACCTCCGAGCCACGAGCCCACAGCTAAACTCGTATGCCTCAAGTGCCAGGAAGCCTGTCCCTAAATGCTGCTAGTGAATCCAGAAAACCTGACAAAATTCAAGACAAGCTCATCCTGCACTCCCATACTAAGCCCAGAGAGTCCGTGAAGTAAAATACAAAGAAACCCGCTGTAGGTCCTGAACCCTAACTCAGACCCTAAACCCTAAACCCTAAGAAGCCTCAAAACGAAAGAGACTGGGCTCCCTTTCGGAAACCCTTCAACTGCAGGCATCTCAATTCATGCCAGGATAAAACAAAATGTCAAGAACAATAGCAACAAAACACCGTCAGAACAAAAACAGGAAAACAAAGAACACCCCCGCCCCTCCTCAAAAAAACTGCTACCTAAACTAAACACCACACCCTTAACCACCCGCTCCCTCCCCACTCAAAACGCAAAAAAGAAACGCGTAAAGCCAAGGCACAGCTTGCGGAAGGCAAGTTGAAGATCCTCCGATTTCAGGGCTCGCCTGTCCAGATTCGGCGTCGGAGCTTTTCTTTTGACACTCACACTCGGACAAAGCATGGCAAGGGGTTTGGGGTTTGTGACTTCGACCTTTGGAGTTTAGGGTTTAGGAGTTTGGTGATTTTGGGTTTCGGCTTGAGATGATTCAACACTTGTTTTTGTGTTGTCGCTTTTCAGCGAAAGTAACGTTCATAATGAACCAATAAGTAACCTGTGTCTAACCCCAATAAGAACGTCACTACTGGGCTCTTAATAGTTTTAAGATTATTTCAGGTTCCGTAATAAAAATAGTACTCAGAGCATGACATACCCCAACACCCTATTCTAATGATCGGGGCCCTTATATTATGTTAGAGCTTTTCAGCTACCAATTCTGCTACTGGATCCATGCATGTCCAAGTACAGCCAGAACCCTAAACCCGCAGACACATTCTAAGCCCTAAGTTCCTCGCTGCTTGGCCGAAGCTTTAAATAGGGGCCTTAACTATTGGAATAGGAATCCTTCAAGGTCTCTGCCCAGGGTTGCTATACGATGTTCCATGATGTAGGCGCCCGACCTGCTTTAAGAGCACATGTTGCTTCGACCTCTGCATTAGACACCAACATGTTGAATCCCGCTGAACCCCAAATGCCAAAGCCTCAAAATCGGGCTCCGGGCTCTTAATTCTAATGGAAAATGAAGGGTTTGGGCATTGGGATATTGAGTCGTTCTGGGCGTGTTTTGTTTTTGCTCAAGTGCTCTGGGCTTCAGGGGCTTGGTGCTTAGACAATTCGGCTAAGGATTCTGGGGCATCTGCTTGTTCTTTTGTCCTGCTGCAAAATCTCTACTAACCTAAACCCTAAACCCCTAAACCCTAACCCCTAAACCCTAAACCCTAAACCCTGGCTCTTTACTAGAACCCTCAAGCCATCCTGGCTTCTGCGTTGCAAGCATGCGACAACATGAATAATGAATTCACTGTCTTGGGTACTGTACTGTATCGCATCTTGGGCATGTATATAGGGGCCTCATATTTCATGGCAGGCCTATTCCCTAAATCCTTAACCCTATGTAGAGCTGGCGCTGCAGCCAGTCAGCCGTCTCCACCACGTCAAGCATGGCACCAATGAGGAACATCATGCACCAACATCATCATGCGTTGGGTACTGCACGCATACAGTGGCAGGGTTTGGTGAAGGGCCTTGGGAAATTATATCTTAAGATATTATCCAACCGTTGAGTAGGGGCGGTGGCCACAAGATAATGCTGATTATGCAGGCAGCACCAAACAGCCCAGGAACGATCAAACCAACACAGCAGAAGCAAAATACTTGCCGTTGTTAATTACAAGGCGCAGGACGAAGAAGACAACAACACAGCAAGTGACGCACATATACAAGCAAGCAATTTTAGGACTAACCGTTTAAATCAAAGTCGCAGTTAGACCAGCAAAAGCGGAGTCCTGGCTGTGCACCTAACATGGCCTAAGTACACGACGTACAGTCTGAGCAGAATTTCTGGCTTTACGGAAAGATCATTTCGCGTCCTGAAATTAACTGTATACGGTATACGCATTTGAGTACACTGTACACTGTATACATACACAACTATATGTATATGTGCATATCCTACCTATACCTATAGCTATCTATCCACCTAACTATATGTTTATTTAATTGTATGTCAGTATGTCGGTACATGCGTATGTCTCCTTGTGTGTAGACCGAATTATCAAAACAGCTATACCAACGGCGGAGCTTTCTGCAGACTCCACCTAACAGGACAGCGTCAAAAAACACAACCCCCACGACTTCCTGCTGAAACCCGAACTGTTACGCATGTAAAACAAGCATCTTCGTAGCTAGACTAGGGTTTTGGGGTACACTATACTCTAATCACATAGGAACTTTCAGAACACAAGACAACTAATACTTCCAACCGCTATAGTAGCCAGCATGGTGGCACAAGTAGGCACAGCACCAGGGTCTAATACATAGCTTCGCAGGCCACAGCCTCCAAGGCGTAATGGTCCCGAAACCCTTCGAATACCTAGAGTTTTTTGGGTTTACTTAGGCCTCGATCAGGGTAGGACCAACATAGGCACACAGCTATGATGTGCAACTGGAAAACGAGGTATCCAGGTAGGGCTCGAAGGAACTTAGGGCACCTGGAGCCTCGTAATGCTTTTTTGTCCAGGGAAGGTTCTGACTTGTATACCAATATAAACATAAATATATGGTCACCCCCCCCGTTGACAAACCATGCCCTTTCAACTCAGTCGTAGTGCATGGTCTGTGATCGGGGGGAGGGGGCACTCAGCTTTCAAAAACTCAATTCCAAAATTTCCAAAATTCCCTCCCCTTAACATTGATCATTTGCTGACTGCCCAAGCTAATACCATCATTAATATCTACACTTTTTTAAGCCAATACGAATAGGCACCATACAAATACGAATAATGATTAATGCTGACGTTCATACTCCTACGCATATCAAAAATTATGCCCATATTGGTAGTAGTGTATTTTAAAACCAATACTAATACACACCTGCATATACCAATGTACATAAATATACATACCACTATATTAAAGTACAAATACATTAGCTCATGCATGTATTTTTATCTGTTAATATTTTCATGTAATCAGCGGTAATACTAATATAAGGCAAACGTTCATGCGAATACATAACCTCATTTTAATATTAGCACTAGCACTATTACTAATACCAATCACACTGTTTATACCAACACCAAGATTTACATAAGTATTGATACTCCTACGGATACTACTGTGTATACTCTTATGCTGTGAACAGTAATGCTGTCACCAATACTAATACTGACATTGATAACTTGTTGGATATTCAAGATAATGCCAGTATTAATACCATTATTAACACTTATACTAAGGCTAATGCGACTATGGATAAACCTAGTACGAATATTAACATTAATACTCCTACGAATACCACTAGTCATATTCATTTTGATGTGAAGACTAATACCATTACAAAAGACACGTGCATATGCTAATGCACACCAGAACACATACCATTATCTTAAAATGCCGATATGTATCAATGCATTCATGTACTGACGTTTTAGGACAAGCATATACCCATATACCAATGTAACAATACACTACTTGTTAATGTGTGAGTATACTATACTAGTATGCTATTATACTAGTATGCTACTATACTAGTATACGAACGACTACTGTAATATGCAAGTATACCGACATGGCAGGTTAGTGTACTAATATGACAACATACTGATATACTTATACATCTTTAGACAATACACGTATATTGCATATACTAGTATACTAATACACTAATGTACGAATATACTGGTATGTTAATATACTAATATACTGATACAGCAACATACTAGTTTACTCATGCATCAGTTGTACTAAAGTACTAAATCTACGAATATGCAAGTATACAAATATGTTGCCTCTCGAACACATCAATGTATTGATATACTAGCCTGCTGATATACGAAACTATCAGAATAGTAACATATCGAAACTAACTCTAATTTTGATACCAATACTAGCACCTCTGCCATTATTAACTGATATTAAGCCCAGCATGAAGACTGATACTAATACTAGCAGTGGCACTATTACTGGCATTGACACTGGCACTAACACTAAGACTAAAACGAAGATCACTAACATTAATGTATACTTACTACTGTCGATATATACATATATATATATATATATACTTAATTACAGTATACACTAATACTATTGCTGATACTAATACTAATACCAATATTAATACTCATACTCATCCTATATCAAAGCTACCACAAAACTCATAACTCACGTGTCGCGCGTCTGGTCCATGCGTCCTCAGTACATGGCATGTTAAAAGTATACTTGGTATATGTACTGTAAAGGATTTGCTTTACAGATTGCCGTCATGTGTGGTGTGTTTAGATACAATATCTCAGCCTAGTCACCGAACGAGAGTACACTATCACAAGGGCATGGTCTGTCAACGGGGGGGGTGAGCTAATATATATATATATATATATATATATACATATGTACACATACACACGCACATATACATCTATATAGAAAATGTCTACAGATATCTAAATATAGATACCTGAACCATTAATGGTCACGGAACCGGCCCTCTTCTGCAACAGCGTCAATGTATGGTGTACAGGCTTGGGTTCTTCAATCCTGGGATGCCCAAGATGTGTGTAGCATCTCCAGATGGGCAGTTGCTAAAATTAGGGGACCTTTTTGGGCACCCTAAATATTAGGTGCCGTACTATATTAGGGACCCAAAAAAAGAACCATAATTTTGACAACCACCCAGATTTGGGGGGCGTCGGGGTTCTTGACGCTCCGCACTGACGGACTTGGGTTAGCCCCACATTCTTGAAAGCCTAAACCAGGGAGGCCTGAAACTTACACCCTAAACCCCAACCCTGAACCCTAAACCCTAAACCCTGAACCCTAAACCCCAGACCTTGAATTCACAGGCCTCAGGCACCAGCCGCAGGAAATCGCCAACAGATTGTACAAGGAGTTGGAGGCAATCACGAAGCCAAAGCTTGCACTGCACCTGGGCTTATCTAGGGCTTTAGGGTTCATTTAGGGCCTGGGCCTAACAACACGGGAAAGGTTGCACTGAACCTGGGTTTGGGCTCGACTTGACACTGCGGCTAAGGTTTGCCTTTTTGCGGTCTTTTCTCAATCTTTGTCATGCTGCTCTCATAAATAATACTGGTGTAGGATAATTCTCATAAATGATACTGGTATAGGAGAATTCTCATAAACCATATACTGGTATAGGAAAACTTGTAATAGCTCTGTTACAGTTGTCAGTTCTTCAAGCTCTAGACCGCCTGCACCTCAGGCTCTTCCAAAACGCCTGGCCCTAGCCGCAATAGAACAACAGCAGCGAAAGCAACAACAACGACAACACCACCACCACCACCACCACCACCACCACCACCACCACCACCAACAACAACAACAACAACAACAACAACAACAACTACTACTACTACTACTACTACTACTACAACTACAACTACAACTACAACTACAACTACAACTACAACTACAACTATTACTACTGCTACTACTACTGCTACTACTACTACTACTACCACACTACTACTACTACTACTACTACTACTACTACTACTACTACTACTACTACTACTACTACTACTACTACTACTACTACCACAACTGCTACTACTACTACTACGACTACTACGACGACTACTACTACGACTACTACTACTACTACTACTACTACTACTACTACTACTACTACTACTACTACTACTACTACGACTACGACTACGACTACGACTACGACTACTACTACTACTACTACTACTACTACTACTACTACTACGTACTACAACTACACCTAGCGGTCAGGTTGAGTCAATCCCTAATGAGGTACTGTCTTCTACGTGGTCCATGCTTTCGGTCCTGGAATGAGCATAAACCTCTCACTGAGAAACATGGGTTTTTCTTGGAAGCTTAGGGGTACTACAGGGGCCTTTTTGATTAGAATATGGTTTTGAGGTATACTATACTATACCTAAAACAAGGAACCCCCGAATTAGTATTGGTGAATATTTTGGCCCCTTTTTTTCCTCAGTAACGGATGCAAGAACTCGACTCCCGGAGACCACCGTCATGTTGAAGAAATCGCATGACGAAGAGAATGATGGCTGCTCTAAACTAGCTAGTTTGAGTTCAGGGCTTACATACAAAATGGGGGGGGTGGTTCTCAACATTCGGGTCTGCCTAGATCGGATCCTTCACAGTGTTCTCATGTTTTCGCATCACATCGACCCCAAACCCCAACTGCAGCTGGGTGACATGTACCCCATGGCCTGCAAGTAGATCAGCGGTATGGTTCCGCAGCAAGCCGTGAGGCCCAGGAAAACATAAGCGACCTGTCTTCTAGTTCATGGTCGGGATAGGACTAAAATTTTAAACTTCTATTCCTTATTGGGTTTAAGTACCCATAAAACTGTAAAATCTCACCTCACTATGACAAAGTCTTCATCGGAGGGTGAAAGGTCGTGAGCTGTTTGCATTAAACCAGTTTGAATCTGGGCTTGCTGGTATCCAACCCTAAATTCAAAACCTATTCGGAGGTCAGAATTTCGAGGTTTAGGGTTTCTCGGGTTTCAGTTTAGGGTTCGGTGAAACAACATCACACCAGGGCCCCTGAGCAGGCATCCCCATAGACCTCGTGAGCGGTAAATCGACGACACTGGGTCTCCAAAACAGTGGGCCACTGCTTGGGCGATTGGCTAGAGGTCTCGGGTTAGTTCGTGTTTCTATGAGGGTATGTAAAGGGCTCTAACCACACCACACAGAAATCACCACGTGGTTACGTGCGGGTGAAGTCGATTAGACGGCTCACGCTTAGGTTTGGTTCAGAGTTCATGGCTCGCAGCCGAGAACTTGAATCATTCGCTAGAGCTAGAGTGTGGGTCCTGGCACTTGCTCTGCCTTCTGTTGCCGCTGTTCTTTGTAAGACTAAGGCTCGGGGCAAAGGGTTCTCGCGCACTCTCTGTGTTGTGAGCGGCAAGCTGTAGACAAGCCCAAAACCCTGCACCGCCGAGGCTGCTTGCTGAAAATGCATAGACATGAACGAACTCCATGCCGGGAACAAGGTCGAAAGCCACGGCAACGGCAACAATTTCTTTTCATGGCGGGTGAGACGAAACCTTACTGCAGAGCTAGAAAGAAACATCAAGACGATAAACTAAGGTGCAGCCAGTATAAGCCCAAAGGGGCTCGGTTCTTGTTCTAAGGAACCTAATCCTTCTACCCGAATTTTCAACCCTAAACCACAGCCACTGAAGAGTTTCCGAAAACAAGGGACCCCAACATAGTACCCTAAATAGCAGGATCCTATAACAAGGACCCCAAAATAAGGTACCCCTACTTTTCGGAAACTCCCAAATCCTCAACACTTCTGCAACCATGATAGATCCCTCTAAACAACCCTTAAAACGATCCCCTTTGAAAGGAACCCTTAAAGGATCCCTTTAAAGGAACTTCAACGCCAGGCCAAAGAGGCTCGACCCATGGCGAGGATCAGCCGGCAACCGAGTTCGTCCTCGAGTGCCTCTGCCTTGCTACGGTTCAGGGTTTAGGGCTTTTTCCGGAGTTTGAGAGGTAAACGCTCTAGCAACTCGGACTCGCCACACCAGGTCTCTGTGTTCGGGTACTCTACTGTCTTCGCTGCTCTACTGCCGCAAACTAGGGTTTAGGAGGGTTTAGGATTCAGAGAAAGCCAGGCGTTGGAGGTAAGACTGAGTTTGCCTCCATGGGCTTCCCAAGACCAACTACTATAGGGGCCTCAATAATTAGACTAACAAGGTTTTGGGTCCCACTTTACTATAATCATAACACGGAACCACCAAATAGTATAGGTAATTCTTAACATAAGGCCCCTATGATATGCTGCCCTATGCCCTGCGATAGAGTTCTGACCAATGCTTACTTTCCATTCCCTTGTAATGCCTGCTATATCGTCTTCTCTACTCCACAACCCGGCTTCAGTTTTAGGTCATAGAGCCAGCGACTCCAATAGCCCTTAATTAAGGAATATACCTTAAATCATACTAGGGGTCCTGCTATAATTTAAGGTATATTCCTTAAGCAAGGGATATTGGAATCTCTGGGGAGTCTCAGGGCCGAACCGCTGGCTGAGCACTAGAGCAATTCCTATCGCAGGAGTAGGTCCGCAGGCTTAATGGAGGCTGGCAGGGTCGGAACGCTTTGTAGACTTCTGAGGTGTCCTTTAAGCCCTTTGAAAATTGTTTAATCTTATGGTTCTCTGCAAAATAGTAGGGGAAACTAAACAAGATCCCCAAGGACAACCCAGACTTGAAGATTTCGCCCAAAGGCCGAAACAAAGGCTGGAACTCACTGCGGAAACAAATATCTACCTCCGGAAAGCTTCAACTGTTGATGGCGACAGCAACCGGGCCTCCACATGGTTGACGGACTGTGTGTTGAGGATACAAACCTTCGATCTCAGATCGATGCTACGGCTACAGGCTTTGCAAGCTCGAAGTATAACGGCCCACTGGCTCACCTGATCAGGCATTTTCAGATAATAACCATGATGATGCTGCTGCTGGTCACTGGCCCGCTTGCGGCTCCAAACATCCACTCAACGAAAAGCTCTTGAGCTTGCCCCAACCTCTAAACCTGCTGTGCTGTGCTTATGAAATCTCGGCGTGCTAAGTAAAGCCCTACAGCCCTGACCTGCACACCCTCTACCCCTAACGCCTAACACTTGGAGTGGCTCCATAGGCGTCAACCGTTAACCTCTGAAACTTTGCCAACATCGGGCGGTGCCTGTGTAGCATGACGGCCCCATGTCCGGAACGCTTGAAACATGTCTCAACCCCCGAGTCCCAACATGTTAGAAAACAGTCTAGCTCATGGTTGGGATAGGATTAAAAATCTACATTTTTATTCCTTCTTGGGTTTAAGTAACCATAAAAATGTAACATGTTACCCAACTATGACAAAGCAGTGTTGTGGCGGATTGAGGGAGCCTCCAGGTGCAATCGAGTTTTGAGGGGTTTTGCCCAGTACACCCGACTAAAGCTGACAGCATGCCTTTGCTTACCACCCCTAAACCTGTGGCAGCCCAGACACATGTGACAGCCTGTCGATGGCCTGCATGTTGGACATCCTGCCGTATGGCTTTGGTGTCTTTTTCTCGCTCACGGTTGATGGATGCTCACTTTTTACTACTTTGCTGACTGAACCGGCTTGAACCAGCCACGCCAAAATTGGAGCTGCTCTGTCTTATCAGCTTTACCAACTTAGACATCTGTTCCGGTTGTTCCTACTCTTCTCCTTGTTCAACCGTTGCATCGAAATAAAGGCTCCGACAGTGCAGGCAAGGCTGCGGGCACACGTATGTAGCGACTGCTACTGCTGATGGCCTTAAATAAGACAAACAAACCCTGCCTTAAGTTTTTCTACCCACTACATTCCCCGAGCCGCACGGAGCCCGCATGCAACTGTATTAAATGAACTACACAAAGGAAGGTGGACACCGCACACCGAACACAACGGGATGAGAGTCATAGAACTGTATTTTCACACTTTACTTTCACTTTTCATAACCCGGAAATCCCGATTTAGCCCTGCAGAAACCTTAAGAGCCTCCTGAAAGATAACTTCTATTCTGTCTGTTAACCAAACCATATAACAAGGATCTTAAAAGGGACTTTAATTCAGAGAACTACCAACATATTCTGGGCAACGTCCCCCCGAGGATCCAGTCTATGTTGGGGTGTCCCGCCTGTCTGTGGGGATTCGAGACTTTCGGCGGCCGTCCACGCTGCGATCGCTTGGCCCTGCCTTCAACAGCATACAGAGGGCGCTTAGGCTTAGAGAAGTCGGAAGAAGGCTCGAGGCTTCAGGGTGGGTGCTTTGGGTTCTACACCCTTAGCCCCGGAACCCTTTTTGCATCCGGGCTATGAAGTTCTGGCCGGAAAGGCTCTGCAAACCCTCGAACTCAGCAGTAGGCTACGCTGGAAAGCCTTGCAAGTCCCTGTATCTGAAACACTTCGTACAGGATAGAACGGGCAACATTGAAACCAAACCTTCCACCGCTAAGCTTACTGAACCCCGAACCCGAACCCCTCAACTGACCCCAAAAATACAACCCTGGACCCTTTTACACCTGGACTACGCATATGCCAGGAACTGAGCCTAAACCCTAAACTGCCACTTGATATCGCCAGGCAAGGATTCACGACCGAAGTCATGAACCACAAAAACTGTGTCACAAATCATGTAGGGGCACTCTGCGGGGTTGACAGGTACTCTAAAGCTGCAACAACATGTTTCTAGCATGCGAGTAGCCTAAACACCTAGAAACGAACACATCCTTTAGAGTACCCTCGCTCGCAATTGACAAGGGGCCGGCAAGCTTGCTTCATCAGTAACATGTTGCAATACTTGATGCAGAATCCTGACATGTGACATTCTTTTCATACGGACTTAGTCGCTAATCCTTTTTGAACCCGTGCTGAGGCCAACGACGAAAGCCTGAAAACTTCATGCCACCTCCGAGGCTCAAGCGGTCCTGGCTCCCCTTTGCTACACAGCCTTCACCATATATCTAGCTGGACCCTAGAACCTATATCTTCAGGGTTCGTAAATATGATCTCCTTTTACAAGTTCTCGATAAAGGTAGCTCGTTCAGGGTCCAGGGCTAGTTAACAATAGTTCGCAGGAACTATGTTTGGGTAAACAGCGGAGGTATAGCTTGGCTTGGAGGAATAGAAAGGTCTGACTGGATAGCAGCAGTCTGCCTAGTCCCCAGAAAGCCTTTTCGAACTCCTCCTGAAGCCATGGAAGAGAAGCTGTACAACCCAACTTCACTCTCCCTCCTTCGGTTGATGATATACACCCTGCATTAACCATAATAAGGAATATACCATATTTACCATAGTCTAGGTTCATTAAGGTAATTCAGGATTTATATCATCAACCGTAGGTAGACTCTGGCAAAAGATGTACCTCGGAAGCTCATTCAAACGATTCCGGCCCCTTGGTCACGCCATTACCGGAGCCTCCATTCCTCGAAAGAGTGGTTGTTTGAAGATTGGGGCCCCTGCTATTCTTGAATCTGCTCGCTACTTTATTAGAGTTCCTTATATGAATCCTACTATTTTGGGAGTTCTAGGCCCAGGGTTTCTTACTCAGGTTCCTACTTTAATTAAATTGAGACCCAGGTTAGAACCCCTGTTTCTGATGAGAGCCTGCACAGCGTCCTGGGCCGCTCCAGGTAGCTCTGGGGGCAGGGAAGTCGGAGAACGAGATCTCCTAGCTCATGGTTGGGATAGGATTAAAAATCTACATTTTTATTCCTTCTTGGGTTTAAGTAACCATAAAAATGTAAAATGTTACTCAACTATGACAAAGTCTCCCCGAAGCCGCACTCGAGCGCGATATCTGCTCCCGGACTCCTCCAGAGGACTTAGATCTTCCAAGATCCTTTTAGGAATAGCTTTAGATATAGGCTGAATATGTATATGTATATATATATATATATATATGGGTATACATTCATAATTAACTACCCAAGTTATAGTAGTACCCCTAAAACATGGTGTAAGGTATATATTCCGTAATGCAATAGAGGGATTTTGGCAGATTTGGGGATTTAGGTTGTTGGCGACCGGGAGGAATGCTGAGCAATGCCGCTCTGCGAACAACCGAAGGAGCCTGAAGGGGCCTAAATAATTACCTATTCTTTTTTGGTGGCTCCTGATTGTCATTATAATATAATATCCGCTCCCAAACCCTATCCTACTTATTAAGGCCCCTATATTACTTGCGGTGTCAGGCTTTCGGGGCTCACACTCGGACGGAGCAGTCGAGGCCTGTGGTTCGAGGTGTCAGGCTTGAGGGTTTAGGGTGTAAAACATGTCGGTTTTCAGGAAACTCGGCAAAGAAGCAGGGCATATGAAACAAACCGAAAAACCCTAAACCCTAAACCCAAACCCTAAACCCTAAACCTTATACCCTAAACCCCAAACCCTACACCCTAAACCCTAAACCCTATACCCCAAACCCTAAACCCTAAAGAAGTGGAGAGAGGATGCCGGGCTTAACACCCGCTGGGGTGCGGAGGAACGTGTTGAAACCTAGCCACTCAAAGAGCATTACTCCTGCAACTGTTCAGGGGTACCTTTAGTCCCCATTGTAGTTCATTTTTTTGGTTTAACCAGTTCTATATTAAGGATCCTATTAAAAGGTAACCCTCAAAAGGAACGACAACGGAGACTATAGGTAGCTTTGGGTGTCCGACCCCTAGGGTACAGAGAGTTACATCTGTAAAATGCCCTGGGGGGTATCCTTGACATCGTGTAACAATTTGCCAAATGCATCAAATCCCCATGCGGTCCGCCGTCTGGCAGAAGTCGTGTTGCACTGTTCCTCCGGATAGCATCTGTTTCTCAACCCTGAACCTCAAACCCCAAACCCCTAAACCCTTTTTGCAACAGGATTTCCACTTCGCCCGGAGTTGGAGTTAGCAACCCCGTTTACACCTGCACTATGCATATGCCAGGAACCGAGGCGCCGACTGTGCTGTGGACTCGTGCCATACGGCTACTTAAAGCATCATGGGACTTAGTAACTAGGGTTATCATGCGGGGTAACTATACTTAAAATTACTTATATAACTCCAAGTAAGGGACTTATAACTATAGTTACTAAGTCCCATGATCCTCCAAGTACCCCAGGTTGCAAAAACTGATCAACTGGTCATCCCTCTACCCGAAACGGTTGTGGCGGAGATTCGGAGCTCAAAGGGCTGAAATAACCACGACAAGCCGGCCTTTACCCTCAACCCCCAAAACCTGTAATGTAGGGGCCTCACTAAGTAGAATAGGGTTTTTTAAGGGGTTTGGTAAAAGGCTCTAAGTATATGGGATTTATAGGGTACTTTAATGTAGGGGCCTTAGAATTAGAATACGTAGGGGTTCGGGCCCGTTACACTATAATTTGGACAAGAAACCTGCAAAGTAGTTTCCTAGGTCATTCTTTAGGCCCGTGGACTCATAAGCCATGCAACTCCTTATTTATGCGCACTACAGTGCTCAGAAGCTCCGTCAGTCAAAAGCCGTAAAGCTATGACCAAGCATCATCCCATTTAGAATACTTGTATCCAGGAATGCTCACCATAAACCGTGAACTCATTCAGAGTACGTATGCTCTGGAGTGCTCATGCGAAGGGCCAGATGTTGCGGCACCTCGGCCTACAGGTTTCTGATGCGCATATCGACCACGTATCGTATTCTCATTGGGCTTGAGAATTCTGGCAGAAAGCGGCGGAGCCTCACCCCATTCCCAATCATGAACACATCCTCTTATACCGTCGTGCACCGAGCTACCAGCAGATTTTCCTTGTCCAAAATACTAAACTGAGCTTCGGTTCTGCAACCCTAAACCTCAGATAGCCGTTAGCATGCCGTTAGCCTCTGAACACAGTCCACAGACACGCGATCTGCCTGCTGCGCGTCCTTCCTGCAAGTGCAGGCTGCGACAGCGAAGCCTGTTGTTGGAAGCAGATTCTGGCATGTAAGGGTGCTTCAAAACCCTGAACCCTAAGCACTAAACTGCTAAACTCCTGAGGGCTTTAAGGTACTGGGGCTTGTGCTTCCCCACTGTGATCCCGATGTTACTCCACTATGGGTTCAGGGGTTCAGGGTTTAGGGGTTTACCCTCGAAAGGTTTAGAATTTCTGGGTACTCAAACCTCAGTCCTTGCCAAGGCTGCTTAGGTTCGGAGGCCTCGAGGTCGGGGAACTACGCAGCTTGAGCCCTTTTCTTCAGGGTGCAGTTGGGTGGTTGTCAATATGAGGGTCCCTTTTTGGGCCTTATTCTAGTACGGCACCTATTCTTTCAGCAGTATGTAGGGTACCCAAAAATGGACCGTAATTTTGACAGCTACCCATTTTTCAGAACCTGTAGAAATGCTCTCTGCAAACCTTTTTGTTGAACGCAGACTCCGCTTAAATCCTAAACCTTGAAGAAAACGGTTCTGAGTTCCCCGAGTACCTCTGGTTTTAGGGTCGCAGCCCCAGTAAGAGAATCTTGGAAGTATGCATGGACATGGGAGTTTCCGAAAATGGGGGTACCTTATAATAAGGATCCTACTATTTAGGGTACTATATTAGGGTCCCCTATTTTCGGAAACTCCCACATGGGCTGCAACGAAGCCTGAAGCAGCCTGGAAAACAAGAGCAAAAAAAGTAACAATAGCAACAATAGTACTACACAAAGGGTCCACAGTACCTGTATAGTAGAATGTAGGGTTTCTATATTAGGAATTACTGCTATGATTTGGAGAAGTGCCCCCCACAAACGGTACTTAGGACCCTTTGGGCTACTAATCTACTAAAACTGACGCGAATAGAAACAGCAACAACAAATCACAATGCCAATCATAGTTGCATTGTTAATAACTACCATCATACAACAATAGTGTCAAAAAACAATACCAATAATACTGATCGTATAATCATAGTAGCAATAATTAAGAGTAACAAGAACAACTAAGAATGACTAGCGGATCGAGTTTATGATAATCATAATAGTACCGTAGCTCTACATCCTGAGCCCTGAACCTATAAGCCCTCCACGACAAAAGCCCGAAGCTCTCAATCCCCCCTAGCCCCAAACGACAACCCCTGGACGTGTTCAGTGCTGTGTGCTGTAAGAACCCCGCCGAAGATAAACCCAAATCTGAAATCACTCCGGACAGCACAGATGGGAAAACAACCCAAAACACCCCAGACTGGTAGACACGACACAAATTTATGTCCTAAGACTGTGTATAACTCCAAATCTGATAGCTTAGCTGCTACAGCCCTAAGTGCTAGCTAGCTCAATAGGGGGTCTGAGTAAGTAGTACTATTGCCTCCGCCTGGTCCGAAAAAAAATCCTTACACAGCGGAAATCACCAAGCACATTAAGCCAACTAAGTTTATTTTGGCCGGTATGACAGCCTGGCAACGAATATACAAACAGTGAGCTCCATGGCCCCTATGTTCGGGTTTGGGCTTGCTGGAACAGGCACAAGCTCTGCAGCTTTCTAGGTTTTGCTTGGCTTTGGGCCCGATAGCTTACTAGTGCTAAACTGCTGAACTCTAAACCCGTAGAGTTGGGTTTTAGAGGGGTGCTGTAGGGCTTTCGTAGGCTGTATCATAGCGGCTCGACAGGGTTCTGAGCAGAAGTTTTTGTTGGTAAGTGTCTCAGGGATCAGTAGGTAGTGTAGAAACACCCTAAACCCTAAACCCTAATAGCATAGAGTCACCCTAAACCCTAAACTCTAATAGCATAGAGTCACCCTAAACCCTGAACACCTGAACCCTAATAGCATAGAGTCACCCTAAACCCTAATAGTATAGAGTCCAGACTTTGATCTTTTGGGGCTTCTACGGATCTCTTACGGTTTCTAAATGTCGGGAAGGCGAATCTCCGGGATTCGTTTGAAAGCTTCGTTTCGGGATCCGTGTTTTTTCTGCATCGGGCTATCAGGATTCCAGTCCTTTCAGGATCTCATCATCTGTCTGGTGCTTAGTAGGGAATGGGGGAATGGGTCATGGGGACTATAATTGTTCCCCCGAGCACCAGGGAGTCATGTGTTTTGGTGTTGAAGCGCTATGCTGTAAGGATTATACGCCACATCCTCAAAGGCATTGAGTATAACTTCGAGCTCCGAAACGGCTGGGCCTCAGGCGTCCAAGTAAAGTTTACGGCCCAGGGTTTAGCGTTTAGCAAGTCGTCCGCACAGTTTCTTCGGTTCCGGGTGCGTAGACTCTCGTAACCCTTATAGCCACTTACCTGGGGCGGTTTAGGGTTCCCAGAGACTCGAATATCCCTTAATTGAGGAACATACCTTAAACCATATGGTATGTTCCTTAATTAAGGGATATTGGAGTCTCTGGGTATAGGGTTCTGAAGGCATCACCTCCACACCGAAATGGCCGAGCGACGATGGAGCTCCGTTTTTCTACCTGGTCCTGCGAGGCTTCGCTGGGCCTACGGAAGAAATGGGGGTTTCCGAAATTAGGGGTACCTTAGTTTGGAGTCCTTATCTAGGCTATTCAGTGTCTGGGGCTGGCAAAAGCGCATACTTTTTTTAAGGTTTTAGCCTGGCTGTGCAATATGACACTGCACATGTTGACAAGGTCTGTGAGACTGTGACTCTTGATTGGTGCTGCCTGCTGACGAGTCTATGACATGGATCATCGGACAAATGTGAGCTTTTCACGGCCGCACCAATCGAGAAATGCGGCCCAGCTCACGGAAGCCGCCTCCTGGAGTTGATGAGATTTCTTGGAAGGGATTTGTCGTTTGGGGGTGTATGTTGCTAGCGGACGAGGAGCAAAAACACATGCCCGGTCTGTGGAGAGGAAGCTGAGTCAGCCTTTAGATCGCAAACCTGAGACTTGTATCCGGAGCCTGTGTTGGTATTCGAAACCTTTCATGGTACATACTGAATATGCGACCCTAAACCCCGGAAACCCTGAACCCCCCGACCAGCTTGCAGCTCCTCGTAGCGGAGCTGAGGTTGATATTGTCGCAAGTCGGATTTCTGCGGATTGGAAAGTTGAGAGTCTGGCTTTTGGTTTATTTTTAAGGAGTTAGGGTATAGTGTTTTTTTTTAGGGTGCCGAGGTTTAGGGTTTAGGGTAGCGGTCGTGAAACCATCGCACGGTTTCATGACTAAGCACCCGCTAAGCTATGATTTAAAGGATGTCCTAAACCTCCAATGCTAAACCCTTGAAGCGAATTATATGGGGAAGAGCTAGCAAGTCTGATCAGTGTTTAGGGTTTTAAGTTTAACCCTTAGGGTCTAGGGCCTTGCCTGCTCTCAGCACGGAGATGCCCCGCCATGCTCCTTTGTCCGCGATCGCCCGGAATGGCGTCCCTGTATTGCTCTGAGCTTGCTCCAGAGTTGGGAGTCGGGTGGCTCTCATCCTGAATCGTCCTCAGCTGACATCAACTGAAAAGACCCGTCTTCTGGCACGAGAGGCCCTTTCTTTTGCCGTCGTCTCCTTGTGCCACGAAACCAAGGCGGAGGCGGTCTCAATCGCCCTTTCAATGCAGCCTGGCAGCCCTGAACCGGGCGGTTGGACGTGGATGGCGGCATCTCCGATTGTCTTCGTCTGCTGAGAGTTGCTGCGTCAGGTGCTCCACAACGCAAGCGGCTGCGTTAGCTTGGCTTCGGTGTTTCTTTAGGGTCACGACCCTTTAAGGTTGCAGGAATGCTGTTATAAGGGACGACGTGGAGTGGGGCAGTGTTCTACATGGGCCTGGAAACCTTGTTCGGGCGCTTCGGCTTCGGGCTTCAAGGCCTTTCTGACCCCTGCCTGTGGGCGTGGGAGCCCGTCAGGACCCAGAAAGATACCTTCTCGGGCTTCGGGTCTCAACAGGCTCATCGAGTTTCCGTGTTCCGACAGGAGCACGGAAACTCAACTACGGAACGAACCACCCCACTAGAATTTTAGGGTTTAGGGTTTAGGGGCGGGTTAAGGGTTACGCATTGCCGGCTTGCACCGGTTGATGTAGATCAGAGCATCGAACAAAGGTCGTCTGTAGTTCAGTCCTCTAGACCCATATATTGACACTAGTGCAGCGAAGCCCTTAAAGCTCTACCCAATCTCCGACATACGATCACAATCTCTCTACACTGTTATCAGCAGCAGCTGAATCTGACTTTCACCTCAGCCTGCAAGGTCAATGACAGCCCGAAACCCTCGTCTAGCATATTACAGAGCCCTGCTTATTGATGGCGGTGCTTTCTCGTGACTCAACATCTGCTAAGAAGGACGTCACAGAGAGAGAGAGAGAGAGAGATTGACAAAGAGACAGAAACAATCAGAGAGAGAGAGAGAGAGAGACTGACTGAGACCCTACAACCCAAACCCTAAACCCTGAACCCTAAACCCTAAACCAAGGTAAGGTCTGAATCTTCCAAGCCACAGACACCTTCGAAATGTCCTGGGCTCCCCTGCTTTCGCATCCAGGGCGCCGTAATGCTCAACCTGGGCGGAACCAGCTCTGTCAATCAATTCACGAAAATGTATTACAGCATTCAAGGTGCTGACAACGTGGCTGCCATGCACACGGATCAACTTTTGACACTGGCTGCTGACGATCCGAGAGCTTACGATCCAAGAACGCACTTCGCCTCGCCTTGCGAAGTATATACAAAATTGACACTGGCAGCAAGGGTCAGGATATCAGCTCGGCGCCGCAGCTCGCCTCTTGGAGGCAGCCTTCGCGGCCCCTGACACTGCCTTCCGTTTCTTGGCATCCTCTTTGGCCTTTTTCGCATCTTCCTTCTCCTTCAGCTTCTGCTGCTTCTCACGGCAAGCCTCGCACGAGCACTGCTTGCACCATCCAGTACCTTTGGGCTTGTCTTCCTTGTCCAGCTCGGTTCCTGGCATTCAACGGTATCGTTGCTACCACTTCTACTAGTCGAGTATGTTGTACAGAACACTTTGGGTAGTCTGTGCACACTTCTTTGGAGCGAGGCTCTGAGGAACCTCTTGGCCACCTTGATCAAAGACCTCTTTTCAGCCATGCCAGCTGGAAGATCCGGTAGTGCAGCAGAAGCCGATAGTTTAAAGCCCAAGCTCTTGAGAAGGTCCTTCGCACCAGCATCCTGAAGAATCCCCGGAACGGTCCGTGCGACAATGAGGAAGCCCATCTTGTTCTGTCTGCCGACGTCCAACAAGCAATGCGGGAGCCGCCCATCGATGAAAGTGACCTGCAGAGAAACAATACAGTCTGTAGCTATCTTAATGCATGCCGTCAACAGGAACGGCGAGCTCCTGGCCTGGTCGTGGAGCGAGTGCTGGAGCCCGCCCTGAGGTTTGTCACCAAGTGCAGCTGCAGCCCACGACCAGATTGACACTGGCTCCGATGCGATGAGGACAACCGCCGAATCGCTTGACACTGTACGAAGGTTGGACACTCCACTGAGCGGTCCGCTCAGCTTCATGATCTGCAAGCTGTTGAAGCCGAGTTTGACACTGGACCTTGGCATTATGGTAGAATGCGATCTTGACACTGGACCTCGGCATTGTGTTACGAATGATGGACATACATATTCCTGCACCAAGCCTCTGTGCTGCACCTGTGGCGCCGTGGAATAGCAAGGCATGGCCGCCTTCGGCCTTTTGGCCAAGCCACTTGCAGATTACCTGATCCACAAGAACCCAAGTCTTGGTTCTTATCAGCTTGCAAACTTCAACACCACTGGGCATGCCTGTGTCAAGTTCGGCATGGTTCTCGTTTCAGTTGACAGTGTCATGTCGGACTTCATCCCCAACGTCCTTCAGTACGCTGTCAGAACACTGCACCAAGCGGCAAGGTCCGGGCCGGGGCCGTGGCACGTAGGAGAGCTTGCCTTTCTTGGTAACGGGCATGCTCCTCAAGCATGGCCGCATTAAAATCAAGAACCACACTCGCATGGAGCCTTTTTTGCTGTGCCTCGAGAGTCCATCCCAGAGCTTCTGCATGTCAGCGAGCTGGATCTGTCCCAAGTTCGCATTTACAAAAGCCCTGTTGTCAGACCCTTAATACTCCCAAGCCTTCGTGCTGCTGATATTGTTCAACTCTGCGGTCGAGATGTCCTTGTACTTGCCTTGAATAACTAAGAGGGTCGTGGGTGCTGTCTTGGAATTGAAAAGACTGCTTACCGAGGCATGGGCGCTTCTTCTCCTCGCCAGAAACAACGCGGGCGACTGCGGGCTCCATCTCTGCAGCTGAAGATACACAGCCGGTCCACACACTGTGAGCCCAAAACTTGCTAGACCGTCTCAAACATAATCATGAAAGGTTTGGGCATTGTTGCTGCGGATGCTACTGCGACGACAACAATCAAACACCGCGAGGACGATGACTGAAGCTCTTTTATCATCATCTGCTGCAGGTGTCTGCTACTGAGGATGGTCGTAGACAGGCCCTTTGTCTTTTTTAAATCCGTACACTTGTTGCTGAGACTGCGGCAATTCAATTGAGGATACCAGCGACACTGGCAACCTGCTTGCACCTGTGCTGAGGCCAGGAAGTCATCCCGGGGGCAGATCTCAAGCTGCACTATTAAATTCTAATTTAGCAATGTCTCGTGGTTCTGTTTATTTACAGTCAGTGTGGCAAGCCTGGACGTTTCAAGTGGTTCTGAGAGTATCTGTCACTCTAGGGTTACTGGGTGGCAGTTTGTTCTGCTGGGCTTCTGACTAAGTGTCACAGGGCAATTTCTTTAGCCCTGCCCACCCCCAGCCCGAGCGAGGAGTTTAATTTCTACTCGGAGCCTGCACAGCATACCTAGATACAGCGAGAAAGAACGAGTCTACGCACTAGGCCTCCAAGCTCATGCACACTTTCCGTTGACGGTCTGGGCTTCCGCACTGTGCACGACGGGTCCAACCTCGCCGCCAGAGGCGCAGAAAGACATGTAACGGCTGTCACATGCTCTCAAGAATGTTGCACAATGACGCTGCCAAGCTTGCTGACGGTCTTTTTGAAACTGGCTGCTGACGATGAAACTTTGATGTTAACTTCGCCCCGCGAAGTTTGCACGACAAGACTGACATCCCAGAACGCACGTCGCCTTGCGAAGTATATACAAAATTGACACTGGCAGCAAGGGTCAGGATATCAGCTCGGCGCCGCAGCTCGCCTCTTGGAGGCAGCCTTCGCGGCCCCTGACACTGCCTTCCGTTTCTTGGCATCCTCTTTGGCCCTTTTCGCATCTTCCTTCTCCTTCACCTTCTGCTGCTTCTCACGGCAGGCCTCGCACGAGCAGTGCTTGCACCATCCAGTACCCTTGGGCTTGTCATCCAGCATGCCCAGCTCGGTTCCTGGCATTCAACGGTATGGCTGCTATCACTTCTAGTATGTTGTACAGGGTAGTCTGTGCAGACTTCTTTGGAGCGAGGCTCTGAGGAACCTCTTGGCCACCTTGATCAAAGTGGTTTTGTCAGCCATGCCACCTGGAAGTGTGGGTA